ACATATATCTAGAGCAAATTCATTTGCCATGGGTTGTCATCTTATTCACAGATAGAGAGACAGATAGTCATGACAGGGGGCTTTGTCGCCGTCGATGAGGCAAATGATTTTTGGGTTTTTTGTTTTTCTTTCTTTTTTATTTGTAAGTTTTTAAAATTCTTAAAAAAAAAAAATTTAAGGGTAAAATGAATACTCCAGTTATCAAAAAATTATAAACATGTCAAATTTTGAATAGGAGTATCATCAGCTAACGTTGTGGTATGGTACTATTATATAATTTCTCCCCAAGGACCCCTCATTTCAGCTCCACATATTTTTTGGAATTAATGCACTTCCTTGATTCTCTAGAATATTTCTATTTATTACAGTAGCTACAGTTGCACTTAATTAAGTTGATAGAGTTCCTATGCAATGTGTTTTAGCTCTCTAGGAAGAATTCTCTAGAGTATATTGTTCTCTTTAAAAAGCCTATGAGCTTATCATTGTAACAACAACAACACAAGCTAAGTGAATCGGAATTACAAAAGAGCTTTGTCGAAGCAACTCATATTTTCAACACCTCAAATTTGTCTCATCGTATAATTTCCAACACCTCATATTCCATTAAAAAACCAACAACTGATATCAGAGCAACATTCCTTTATATGTGGGCATTGGAATCAATTCTAGAAGATGTCATCAGGAGTGAATGAAGGTCCATTAGTTTCCTACACTATTCTCCCAATCTTTGGAGGAGAAAATTATGATTTCTTGAAGGTAAAGATGAGAACTATACTGTTGTCAAGATGACTTTGGAGCTTCGTTGAAAGAGGGCATCAAGAGCTAGGGAACCAAGTCAGCTTCCAGCAGCACAAAATAGAGAAGTTTGAAGCAGAAGTCACAAATGAGGCTGTTTACCTCACAAACGACTCTTTGTCATTTGTGAGGTAAATCACCTCGTTCCTTAGGTAAATTATTCAACCAATGGGGTATTTTACCATTTGAACATAAGGGGTTCGTCTATTGAGTAAACGTGATTGTTCCTAGAGTAAATTAACAAAGAAACCTTCTCATTGGTGGCCATGTTCCTCGTTATCACTGGGATGATGCTGTCGTCACTACTGTCCATCTTATCAATTGCATGCCATCTGGGGTCTTGAACTTCAAAACTCCATTACAAGTGCTCGCACAACACGGGCCTCTGCCCTCTGTTTTGGTGCTTACCCCTCGCATTTTTGGCTGTGTGGCCTTCGTTCATCTCCACAAAAATCAATGAAGCAAACTTGATCCATGTGCGCTTCGTTGTGTTTTTTTGAGTTATGCCACTCATCAGAAAAGTTACCGATGTTATCACTCTCCTACCCGGCAAACCTATGTCACTTTGGATGTCACCTTTCTAGAATCAGAGATGTTCTTCTATGACCCAGCATCCAATTATACTCTTCAGAGGGAGATACCGAGTGAAGAGCTCAATTGGAGCAGCTTCGAAAACGAAGATATTCATCTATGCACGAAGATTGCTCTCGGCCAAGAAACAATAAAAATCGATCGTCCCGAATCTGGCACGTGTGAATGCTCTCTGCCAAACAACGATCGATCGCCTAACCCTTGCGAAGTTGTTTTTGATTCGAGTCATACTCCTATAGACAACTCAAAACAACAAGATGAAGACCCCACTCTCATTCAACAGTACCAACGGACCAATCTTCTGAGAATATCTTTGAGGTAAATACTCCTACTAGACTTGTGCATTTAGAGGATAAAACTATTGGATATCAATTACTTTTCAGGCAAAATCGTGGGAAGCCACCAAACCGTTATTCACCTGATATTGGCAAGACATCCAAGTATCCAATTGCAAATCATGTATCCACTGAGAAGCTATCTGAACCACTCAAGGCTTTTATGCATCAGTTGTCTGCTATTCATATTCCAACCAAAGTCTCAGAAGCATTGAAAGATCCTAAGTGGGTCCAAGCTATAAAAGAGGAGATGAAAGCTCTTGAGAAAAATCAGACTTGGACATTGGAGACTATACCACGAGGAAAAAAGACTATCGGATGTAGATAAGTGTATACTATAAAACACAATGCAGATGGATCTATTGAGCGATACAAGGCAAGACTTGTGGCAAAAGGGTACACACAGACCTATGGTATAGACTATGAAGAAACCTTTGCACCATTTGCAAAGTTAAACACCGTAAGAGTCTTATTATCCCTTGCAACTAATTTAGATTGGCCACTACACCAGTTTGATGTAAAGAATACTTTCTACATGGCAAACTCACGGAGGAGGTGTACATGGACATTCCTCATGGATATAATACTACTCAGACTAGAACAGTTTGCAGGTTATGAAAAGCATTGTATGGATTGAAACAGTCACCATGGCAATGAAGAATAATGGTTTCAAACAGTGCAACTCAGATCATACTCTGTTCTTGAAACATCGGAAAGGGAAGGTAACAACATTAATAATCTATGTTGATGATATGATTATTACTGAGAATGATAAACGGAAAATATCACAGCTACAAGACTATTTGGCTGCTGAGTTTGAGATGAAGGATCTAGGTGGACTCAAGTATTTCTTGGGAATTGAGGTGGCTCGATCGTAGCAAGGCATATTTCTCTCTCAAAGGAAATATGTCTTGGATTTGTTGATAGACACAGGAATGCTAGATTGCAAACCTGCGGACACTCCTATTGTTCAGAATCATCATCTTGGAGAATATTTAGATCAAATTCCAACTAACAAAGAAAGATACCAAAGGTTAGTGGAAAGATTGATCTATTTGTCACATACTCGACTAGACATTGCTTATTTGGTGAATATTGTCAGTCAATTTATGCACTCTCCAAGTGAAGACCACATGAATGCAGTTCTTCGGATACTTAGATATTTGAAGTCTGCACCTGGAAACGGACTTATGTTCTCAAAGCATGGTCATCTAAATATTGATGGTTATTCAGATGTAGATTGGGCAGGTAATGTAACAGATAGAAAATCCATATCGGGTTACTTCACATTCGTGGGAGGTAATTTGGTGACATGGAAGAGCAAGAAATAGAATGTAGTAGCTTTATCTAGTGCAGAAGCCGAGTTCAGAGGCATGACTAAAAGGATTTGTGAACTTTTTTGGTTAAGAAAGTTGCTTACTGAACTTGGGTATAAACATACATCCACAATAAATCTCTTTTGTGACAACAAGGCTGATATAGCCATTGCATAGAATCCGGTTCAGTATGATCGTACTAAACATGTTGAGGTGGATCGACACTTCGTCAAACAGAAGCTTGAGGCTAAAGTGTTTTAGTTTCCTTTTGTGAAATCCGAGGATCAATTGGTGAATATTTTGACAAAGGCGATTTTCAGTAAAGCATTCCACAATTCACTGGATCAGTTGGGCATTGGCGACATCTATGCACCAATGTGAGGGGAAGTGTTGGCGTGACTTGTGGATATTGACTTACTTTCCTTACACACCAAGAATTCCTATTATAATTGTAATTGATTTATTTTAATTCCTGATTTCCTACCGTAAATAGATTTAGGAATTTATTATTTACTTGCCCATTCAAGTTTTGTTGTATTATAAATATGACCTCCTACAAGGAGAAGTATACACAGAAAATTCTCACAAACAAATATTCTCTCATAGTTTTCATATTTCAGCACATGACTACAGCAACAATGGAGAGCCACCATAATGTACATGAAGAGGGTGAAGAGAAAGCTTAGAGGCTAGATACTATTGTACTTTTTTGTCGAAACATGAATTCAATAAAAGCCCACAAAAGGGGACGGACAAAAGAAAGAAGCTGGGGCAGAAACCAGCCAACCAAACAGAAAGCAAAACAAAGGAAATGCTCAAAACTTGGATTAATTACATCTTCATTTGTTTTTCTTTTTCAACTATCAAATGTTGATTAATTACATTACTTTGACACAAGAAATAAATTTAAGATAGATATTACTTTTCTTTGACACAAAAGTAATCCAAGGCATTGGGGTATCCACGCTAATTCTTCTCCACTCATTGCTCTTCTCTTCTCTTCTTTAGACTCTTCTTTGCGACAAGTTCAGAATTGAGTAAGACAACGATCGACTTGTTTTGGTCCGAAACTGAAATGGGTCGGATCATATCAAATTGGGCAGAACCCAATAGTTTTATATTACAAATGTTGGGCCAGACCCGACCCAGTTTTGGCCCAAAATTGCAGAAAAAACTTATCTTTTGAGAATTTGCAGAGAATTGGAGGAGAGCTGAAAATGGCGAAGAAAGGAAGCTAGCATGTGAGGTTGTTACAGATTGGATGGAATTCGAAAAATTTAATGACAATAACGGAATTGGATATTTATAATGAATTTGAGAAATAAATTGGCAGACAAAATAATTCAAGGCATAGTGGAATTAGTGTACATGATAATTCAGGGGGATTGAAAATCCATATTTTGTTGCTTAGATACGTTGAAAAGAGGTTCCAACTAATGTTGCCAAATTGTAGACCACATTAAGTCTAAAGAGGGGTCCTCGATGAGAGCATCAGACCTCCTTATTTCAAAAACGGCGACGACTCCAACCACTTGACCCCAGTGGAAGGCAACCACTACATTCAAAAAATTTGGAAGATTGTCATAGGTTAATTAAAGAAGATAATTGCATTGTCCTCCTTTGAAATTAATTCATTTCAATCAAATAAGCATTTGCACTGACCTGGACAGCCAAATCTGTAGCTGAAGTTATATTTGTTGCTTGTTTTGGTTTCACAAGTATGTGCTGCATTAAATTTTGACTACCCATTTTTGTATTCATTTGATATGGTATTCATGACTTCGGACAGCCAAAATCCGTCTTTATTGTTGCTTGCAAAAGGTAGCGTGAAAGAAACTGGATCAAAAAATAAGATATAATTATAAGCACAAACTGTGCCGTATTACATCAGGAACGCTAAAAAGAAAAAGAAAAAAAGAAAACAAGAAACGCAAATAAAAAATAAAAAGTACAATAATAGCCTCTAAGGCTTTCTCTTTATCATGTTGATGCGCACTGTTATTATCACATAGAACCTATCTTGTACATTGTATATGAATCGAAAATACGCATATCTCCATGTCTTGTTAATAATTAAAGAACCACACACTCCCCAAAATCCCACTATGAACCCTAGCACAATAGAAGAAATATAAAACCATGGAAGTTGATGAAGCCCATTGTCCATGTCTTTGTTGTTCTTCTTGTTATCTTCATCAATGCCTTTATTTGGTCGATCACACTTATTTGGAAGTGGTGCACCACAAAGTTTTGGATTCCCCTTAAAGGCAGAAGCGTTGAAGCTTTGGAGCTGAGTGCTTGTTGGTATTGGTCCTTGGAGATTATTGTATGAGACATTAAATTCTTTCAAGAAAGTAAGGCTCGCCAATGACGATGGGATTATTCCAGACAAGTGGTTCATGGAGAGGTTCAAAACCTCTAAATTTTTTAGGTTAGATATGTGGTCTGGAATGATGCCGGATAAGTTGTTGGCGCGAAGAACCAACCCATGAAGAAGCTGCAATTGGCCGACCTCAATAGGTATGTCACCAACAATGTTATTGTTAGATAAGTCTATTATTGCTGGATAGGAAGAAATTTTGGATGACAAATAATAATTTGGGTTTCTGGCGACTGGGCCAAAGTAGAAAGGCAATTCAAACTCATAACTAGTGTAGTCTACTTGAGATGTAATATTAGGTTCATATACCAACCTTGGTAGTCTACAAAGTTGCTTTGGAAATTCACCTGAAAATCGGTTTTCTGACAAGTTGATGTAAAACAGTCTAGGAAAAGTTGTAACACCCCGACCCCGTTTATTTTCCTATTTAATTTAATTAGGGGAAAATATTAAATTATTCCTGGGTTAAGGGTGATTTTGGTCACTTTCTTATCCGGGAAGATTTTGGGACCGTGAGTGGTGTGGTTGCGTAGGTGGTACTGAGACGAAACCGTAGACAGGCGGTAGGCCTGAATCGGA